TTTTAAATCAATCTTTTCATTTTATCCTCATTAAATATATATACACTTTACTTATTATCTCTCTGTGATAAATTACTCTTATTTATGCTTATTATCTCTTTATATTAAATATTAACTCATGAGTATCTCTGATCTCCTTTACTCTCTTCATAAGTAAGGGCGAAATTACTGTATATGGCTTGCATATTTATTGTTTTTAATTAAATTTAATCAATATTATGAATCATATGATTTTCATAATTATGTTATAAAAGGAAGCGGAATGAGTAATGAGATAAGTAATCAATAAAAGCCCAGCATATAACTGGTAGGTGGTTAGGTCCTTTAACGCCCCCGTTTGCTTTATTTTGTCTCACGTCAAGAAAAGAATAATTTGGCCAGAAGCGTAGAAAGGGGGCAGGGTTGTTTATGGAGCAACAAGAAACAAGGAAGATATATGTGTGTCTGTCTGTCTATATATATATATATATATATATATATGTATATATATAAAAGCATTATTCTATTACTATTTATAAGTCATTTGTAGAAAAAAAATTATTTTATAAATATAAGTAATTTGTAGGGTAATTAATATTTTTTTAAATTTTATTCCAATCAACTTTATAAATGTATAAAGAAATAAGATAAATATACGAGAGAAATATAAAACAAAGAAATAATTATAATGAGATTTCAAGAAAAGAAAATAAATACCAAAAAATTTTAATAACAAGTTACAAATTATTATTCTCTGCTATGGAACTTATAATTACAAGCTGTTCAATTGTCATTAGAATTTTTTAGCAATTATATTTCTTCCTTGAGACTTTATAATTCTACCTAAAACATATTGTTAATACCTTTTTTTAATAAGGGTAAAAAAATTTTTTTAAAAAATACTAATTTAATTAAATGGGACCTTGTTCCATTCAGGTCAATTATTTAATAAGTTTTATATAATTTACAGATAAATCTGTCCGTGAAATCAAAAAAGAGAGAAGGAAATCAAATCCGAAACGTGAAACACGAAAGGAGAAATGAAGGGATGATGATCCAAAAAGAAGAAACTAATTGTCTTCCCCTTTCTCTGTTTTTTTTTTTTTTTTTAAGAGGAATTACTTTTGCCCACTTGTTGACTTGTCTTCAATGGATGACGCGATAAAAGTGAAGAACATGGATGGATTGCATTCCAAGCAAGTGAGACAGTCAAAAATAAAAGTAGGAAGCATCTGATTCGTTTGGAATTTCTGTTAATCAAAATGGCACAATTAAAATTCAAATAAAAATTAGCTAATTCGGCTTTCCTTTGGCTTTCAATTCCCTCATATATTCACGAAAGTTTATAAATAATATATAAAGGTTATATATTTCTAATACATATTTTCATTTGCAATTGTACATTGGCCATCAGAATAGAAGATCAGGAAATATCACCAAATTTTATGTAATTATCTTTTTATTTTAATATAATTGATCATTTGATCAAAGTATAATAATAATATGGCATGTATTATGCACACACACTTTATTTTCATTTAATCATATCACAAATTTTCAGGAAAAATGATAAAAAAAATACTTGTTGAATTTCAAAATAATAAATAGGTAATTTTGATAAATTTTAACTTGTCAAAACTATTACAAAAGTGGTTAGCATAACTTATTTATCTCTTTGAAATTCAATAGATATTGTTTTGTTATTTTTCCATTATTTTGCCGTCTTAATTCTCTCGTTAATTTGTGGTTGAGAATACGTGTCTTATGTAAAATTACAAACTGAGTTGACTCCTATTATTATTTAAGATATATATAAATAATATAATATGGCTTGAGTAATATTTCATGTGGAAGGTCAACATTTTAATTTTTGTTTCTTTAATTTGCCGGACCCTCTTCTTTCTTTTTGGACAGTAGGATCTAGGGTTGTTCAATTTGTTTCGTCACGGTCATCTTGTCCCGGTCTCGATCCCAATGAATTTGGGACGGGACGGGACTAAAAAAATTTCGGAATAGGACAACAACGGGACGGGATGGGACACGGGATGGGGTCGTCCTATCCTGTCCCATCCTGGGATATTTTTTTTAAAATTATTTATTAATAATTATTATTATTTTTATAGTGATTTTTAGCTCTTAAGTTGTAGTATGATCTCAACAAAATCTCATTCCTTAATAAAATAATTCATAAAGCTATTATATAGTATTTCTTTTACGATATTTTTTTTTACGGTATTGTTTTTACACATTTTTTATACTATATAATTAAGCTTTCTATATAATATTTTTTTTATAATGTTTCTATCTTTAGAAGCCCAATAAAAAATAAATATTATAACATAAAAAAATTCATATAATCTTTTTTTGAATAAAAAGGGAAAATGGGACGTCCTATCAGGACGGACACGAGACAAAAATCTTATTCCATCTTTATTCACCGAGATGGACCTGTCTCGGTCCCATCCCGTAAACACTCCTAAATTAGGACCCAACCTCTTGGACTCAATCAGATTTAACCGGCTATGGTTTTACAAATGCCCGTATAATACTGTCAAGTAATACTTCCTCTAATTTTTTTTCTTTCAAAGCAACAATCTCTCTCGTCGTGGTTTAAAAGTAATAAATTTTTTGGCCAAAATTTTAAATTAATCTTTTCATTTTATCATCATTAAATATATACACACACTCTTCACTTATTATTCATTTGCAATAAATTATTCTTATTTATATTAAATATTCACTCATTATCTCTCATTTACTCTTTTCATAAGTAAGGGGGAAAATTACTTACGTATTTGCTGTTTTTAATTAAATTTAACTAATATTTTGAATAGTATGATTTTAATAATTATTTCTCATAAAGAAACGGAATGAGTAATGAGATAGCTAATCAATAAGGTTCAGCATATAACTGACGGGGAGCTGGGTCCTTTAACGTTCTTGTTTGCTTTATTTTGTCTTACACCAAGGGAGTGTTTGGATAGAAACCAAACCACAGTTTCAGAAGTGCTTTTACGGATTACGAAGTAAATATGTGGAGGAGGTTACCTCGTTTTGCGGAAAAGTGATTCTAAAACTTAGGTTTTGGTTTTGCCAAACACTCCCCAAGAAAAAGATGATTTGGCCAGATGTGTAGAAAGGGAGCAGACACACACATAGAGAATGTTTGGATTACAGTTTGCAACGATAAAAGTTTATAGAAAAGTGTGAAACTGAAGTTAGTAATTTATTTGGACATAAATGGTTGTTTGGCTAGGCTTTTAGCTCAACCAACTTCTAGCTTTTAATTTTAATTGGACTCAACGGAAAAAAATCTGACTTTTTTCATTTCAAATTGTAATTTCAAATGGTAATCGTTAAAAATGAGCATTAAAAATATACCAACCCAGATTTATCCTTATATTTTTCTCTCTGTCTCATCTCTTTCATTAGTATAATGAGCTTTTATTCAGACTAAATAAATTTTAATTTATATTCATGTTTATCCATTATATATATTTAATTAATTATCTATAATGTGCTTTCAAATTTTTCTCGGTGACAAATATTTTTATTTTATAATTTCACAAATAAACTATTTTTATTTTATCATAATAATTTTTTATTTTTTTAGCTATTATCATATTAAAAATATAAAATATCAAACACTACTATTCAATAAAGTCAATGTACTTTTCAGTCATTTTACAACTAAACTCACTTTTCTATTTAATCATCTAAACAACTTTTAACTTTTTCAACTGACTTTTTATAAGCATGTATCCAAATATAAATCACATTACACTAATTAACTTTTATTCTAACTTCAGTTACAAAAGTCTGTTAAACTAGAAGTCAGTTTTGCCCAACGTCAATCCAAACACACCCTAAGTAACTTTTAAGGTAATTAATGAATTTTTTTTTTGGTGTTGTCCTAAATGTAGAGAGTGATAAGATAAATATATGAGAGAAATATAAAGCATAAGGATAATTATAACGTGTTAAAAAAAGAAAATAAATACCAAAAAATTTCAATGACAAATTAGAAGTTGTCGTTTTTTACTATAGAACTTATTATTACAGGTAGAGCTGGGAATGCGGGCTGGCGGTGCGGATACGGGCCAGCCCGCAACGGTGCGGGCCAAAAACGGTGCGGGCTGAAGTAGCCCGCACTTTGGCGGGCTGGCATTTTGCCAGCCCGAGCCCGCCGGCCCGCCTAACTTTTTTTTTTAAAAAAAAATATTATTTGTATAAGTTTGAGCTTAGTTTGTAATGTTAAAATTGGACTTGGAGTTTTAAACTTGAGTAATGAGTTATAATAAAATAATGTGAGGATTAATTTATAATTTGAGAAGATATTTTAGAAAAAACTAACACATATTTTTTCTAAATAATTAATTTGACTATTTTTCTTATCCAAATTAATTAAGTAGATCTTTTATGTATGTATTACATATGCAATTACATGGATGAGAAGATGTAAATATGAAATTTGGGGGTTAAAATCCTCCAATTATGTTGTATAATATATTAGAAATTATATAAAACTAAAATTAAAAAAAAAAAAAAAAAAAAAGCGGGCTGAAAACGGTGCGGGCTGGAGTAGCCCGCACCTTGGCGGGTTGGCATTTTGCCAACCCGAGCCCGCCATTTTTGACGGGCTGGCGGGCTGGGCCCGCGTTACCAGCTCTAATTACAGGCTGCTCGGCTATCATTAGAATTTTTTAGTATTTATGTTTCTTTTTGAGACTTTACTGCAATTCCCCCTAAAACATATTGTTAATACCTTTTCTTTACTAAAGGCCAATGTAAAAAAAAAAAAAAAAGAATTGCCAATTAATTGTACTGTTTTGAGTTACAAGCTTAAAATATAAATAAGTTGTAAATAGGAATGGAGTGATACATAAGAAACAGCAACAGTAGTGTGTGTATTAGATGGAGCCTATGTATAGATCTCTTTTGTGGAGTTTTTGTTGGAAAGTGTCTGTGCGTCCGTCTAAACGCATCGGAGAGGGATGAGCTTAGTTGACGAAATTAGGGAAATGCGTCTTGGGGTAAAGATGCGAGATTGGGAGGCTGTGCTGCGCACAATAAGGGGCGCTCCATCGCCATGTGCAGAGCTGTGGCTGGCCAAGATGAACAAGTGGGCTGACACTGTACTGCACGCAGCTATCATTTATGGGGCATCACCCGCCATCGCCCGTGAGCTGCTCCTTGAAATGGCCAGACGTAAAGAAGACGTCCGGGAGATTCTGTCAGCCAGGAACCAGTGGGACAACACTCCTCTTCACTGCGCCGCCTCCAGGGGCTCTCCCTCCTTGTGTCTTCTCATCCCTGATGCCCTTGCCACCGCAGAGCAGACAACCCGCGCCGTAATTAATTTAATCTCTTTTATTGATTACATGATGCACGCGCATCTGCATGATGAGATTGAATCTTAATTATTCTGTTTTTAATTACGAACATGCATGCTTCATGATTCTTTTGTTTGAAATATTTTTTGATGATATAAATGGTCTGGACTAAAATATATATTTTTAAATTTGAGAGAAAATATGTATAATTAAAGCAAAATAAAATAGTGGTTAGAATATTTCACTCTGGTTATTAACGTTGCAGAGCGTAACTAGCATAGAGAGGGGAAAGGGGCATCCGTCTCTAGTGCTTCAACTTTTGAAATGTTTTTTTCTCCTATTCATTATTAGATTTTACAAAAAGTAGGTGACATTCTGATATCTAGTGTGCATGTTGCAGTTTTGAATTCTTCATAATTTATATAGATATAAATATATTAACTGTGCAGTTTTAGATATTTTTAAAAAAATCATTAAAAAATTTAGGTTCATATAATTTTTTATCCTTCAAGTTTGTTTTTATTTTGATTTAGGTCTCTCAAATTTCTTTTTATTTAAAATATTAGTTTCTATAATTTAATAAAAACTTAAACTATCTTGTCTATTGAATAACTAAAATCTATAATTTGAAATTTGAGAGATCAAAACTAAAATGAAAACAAATTTGAGTTACCAAAAATTATATTAGCCAAAAAATTTAAAGTTGCATTATTTCATAATATATATTGGGATGTCACTTATTTTATATAAAATTTAAAATTTATTGATGATGATGATGATATTGAATGTTGATCATTAAGGCTCTGGCGCGTAACAATGAGGGAGAGACGCCTGTGTTCTTGGCTGCTGTTCATGGTCACTATTGGGCCTTCCGCCTTCTCAGTGAACTTGTAGAACTTGAGCATGCCACAAGTCCCTACGTGAAGCCCAATGGGGATTCTGTACTTCACTTAACCATTCAGCGAAAGTACTTCGGTCAGTGATTTTACTTATTTTAAAAATTAGTTAATTAGGTCTTCTACTCCTTTCACTTTAAAATTAAGTTACTTTTTTTAAAAAAAAAAGTAATCCATAGTATAAATTATTTTGAGAATAATCAATATTTATTTGCTAATTTTATCCCTTTAATTAATGCTTAAATATGACTCCTCCTGTTTTTCTCTCTTTCTTTAAAATCCTTAATATGGGTAAAAGGGAGAGGGGAAATTTCTATCGAAGACGGGTTTAGTTACAAGTTAATTGTTCTTTCATAGTTCTACTAATGATGGTATGGTTAAAAAGGACTTATATATTTTGGACTAGGGGTATTGTTTGTTTAGGACCGAATGGAATAATACTTTATTCAAAATTATATTCTATGACGGCTTAGTTAATTAATGAAATCCTTTGCTTGATAAAAGGTATTAGAGTATATATTATTTTTTATTCTTAATATAAGAGTTAGTTAGAAATTTAATTGAGTCTTAAATATAAAATTCAAATCTATTTTTTCTAAATATTTATTCATATTTGCCTTTAAAATGGTGATTGCATGTGTTAAAGAGTTACTATTGTAATGCGAACGTACATGACTAATAAATTTATTTTATAAAAAATAACATATATTTATTATAAATGACTAACTCAACTAATTTTTATAATATTTATAAATTAGTTAGTTATCTAGCTTTTTATAGTAACATAATTGAATTGAATTGATCATTAACGCAGAATTATCATCCATAATAATGCATCTCCTCCCCGACCTGGTTTCCAACATCAATGAAAAAGGGCAGGCACCTCTGGACATCCTGGCCTCTATTCCTTCGGCATTCAGGAGTGCCACTCACCTCAGCTGGTGGGAGTGGCTTTGCTACCCCTGTAAGTGATCTAAATTTAATTATGTGACAAATTAAAGCACTTATGTTTCAATTTATAAGCTCTCTTTTTTCTTTTGTCAAACACTGAAAATTACAGTTAAAAACCTAACCTTAAGTTTTCAAAAAGATGTACTCCATCTAGTCACATACAATACTGCATCCGGTGCTCAACCAGGGGATTGAATTTTATCCTAAATATAAGGTCTTAATTTATTTTTTTTCCTAAATTTATAATATTTTATCTAGAATATCTCTATTGACTGTAAGAGGTTTTACCAAGAAATAATTTCAATGCACATTACTAAAGAAGGTAATTTAGGAAAAATTTAACACACATTTATTACAAATTGACCAGCTTAATTAGTTCCTTTAATCTTTCCAAATTAGTTATATACTCCTCTAGTCCTATTTATAAGGCAGAGAGGAAACATATTTTTTGGTCCTATTTATATGACACTGAGAAAATTTTTTGTATAGATGTACAATTTTACCCTTCATTTATTGTTATGTTAACTTTGTTTAGATGAGGTATAATGTATATTAAATAGAGATAAAGTTAGAAAGTTGTTGAATTTTAAATGAGAGTTAATGAAGTTTAAGGTTTTTCTTAGTCTGTGTGAAACATGCTGGGAGAGACTTATAAATAGGACTAAAGGAGTAACTCTTATTTAACAACTGGAGATAGTATTTGGAATTAATTTAAAATATATTTTTAGTCTTTCAGCCATACATAAGGTTTCAGTTTAGTCACTTAACTTTAAAAAGTATTTTTTTAGTCCTTTAACCCTAAAACTGTTTATAAAAAATGATAATATTGAGATCTTGGATGTCGATAAAATATTCTTAAATACAAATATATTAAGTTTAATTTTTAAAACAACCATGATTTATATAAAAAAAATTATCATTTAATAATACTAACAATTTTAGAATTAAAAAGCTAAAAATATATTTTTCAATTTAATGCTCCATTTGGATGGAAAGAAAAGTGGGGAGGAAAGAACATGGGAGGAGAGAAAATTGGAAAAAAAAAATATTATCACCTCTTTTATTTGGATAGATGAGAGAAAATAGAGAGAAAAGAAAATAAGTAAAAACATGAATAATCAAAATAGCCTTATATATAAGAATATATCATATTTAAAATCAAAGTCAATATTAGAATAGCAAAATGATATTAATGTTAACATGATCAAAAAATTTATAATCAAATAATTTGATAAACATATAATTTCATAATTTTGTATTTTAAACCAAATAATTTTAGAGAAAAATATTATTTTTGAAGGTTACAAAGTGATAATTTTTAAAATGAAATATAATTAAAATAAATATATAAATTAAACATTATCTAATATTATTAATAAATGCTAAAAATAAAAGGATTAAAGTAAAATATGATAGCCTTAGAAATTGATTCCATGAGAATGCCCAACACTATGATCATGGAATCATAAGCATGATTCTAAAAAGTCTATGTTTCTTAGCAAAAGAATGACCAATAAACCAATGCAGGACTAAAATCATAACGCGCGCAAATATTCAGAATTGGAAAAAAAAAAAAAAAAAAAGAACGCGCGAAGTAGACAAGGGTAAATAAGAAAAAAAATGAGTTTTCTTTCCATTTTCTTTCCATATGTAGAGAGAAAAGTTGAGAGAAAAATAAAATGGGTTTCACATTTTATTTTCTTTTTAATTTCTCTTTCCTCTCATTAATCCTCTCCCATTTAAATAGGGAAAAACATAGTTCTCTCTCTATTTTCTTTCATAGTTTTCTTTTCTTTTCTTTTTTTTCAATCCAAACAGGGATAAAAGATTAAATTAAAATATTTTATAAAATTTAAAGAATAAATGTATATTTTAACATTGAGATTGTTATTATCATCAGTAGTAGTTTCATTATTATAATATTATTACGTGAATAGAGGATTGATTGAAATGACGTTGCTGACGTAACGATCATACTGCTATTTCCGAAGTCGTCCCGATTCGTTCCCAGCCCCGGCGTTTGTCTCGGCATCTTTTAGATGAGGATGATCCCGGACTGCCTGATCAGTTTCCCACCCATGAAGCTCTTTTCGGATTCTCCTTTTTAAGGAGCACCATAGGTAATTAATTATTAATTTTAATCCTTAATTAGATCTTTGTTTGAACCTGCACTTGCATGCCTCGAAGCATAAATAAATAATAATTCATTTACCAATATTCGACTCCTTATTATAAGTTGCCTATGGAAGAAATATTTTTAGTTCGAAACATAAGTTCATTTAGAGGGTTATTACTTATTAATAATTATTTTTTCAATCTTAATCTTATTTAATTATCACTGGGAAGAAAAGAAAAAAAGAAAGAAGATTCAGAGTTAATAATGATTTATACATACAGGGAGAGAATTTTAATAAGAATAAACTCGAAAAAAAATTAATCAATTTAAGACATATTCAATTATAATTAAACTATCACCGCTTGATGAATGAAAATCAGTTAAAAGGGATTTACATATGATAAGTAAGGGGGCTTGTTTGTAATTACAATCATTATTAGCACTTTTAATCACGTTTCACGTAAGTCATCGCAACAAAACTCCTAACACATAATTACTTCGTATTTCATAAGTCACGATTAAAAAGCTGCTTAAAAACTTAACATGTCTGTCTATGGTTGGCAGAGAAGAAAAGGAGACATGTATTTGGTTCGCGGATCATGCAACAACTGCTAGACAATGACGCTTTTTATGATAGTTTGATGGAGAGGGACCTGTTGGGGATGGACCACGATCATCCGGCGAACTTACTAAAGCTAGGTCCTTCACATAAAGGTACTTGGATCCTAAAAGTAAATTTAAAAAAAAAATGAATTTAATGAATTTTATTATTTTTGTGTACGTGTGGGTAATTGATAATAAGTAAGATATAGGTATGTATGTGCATGCAGCATCATCATTATTAGGATGGACACCATTGTTGAGAGCAACAAAGTATGGTGCAATCGAATTGGTGTGGGCAATCTTGGACAAAAAGCCATTTGCAATTGAGGATGAAATGATGAGAAGAAGACGGTGATGTTGGTGGCGGTGGAAGAGAGACAGTCCACCCTATTGATGCAATTCATGAAGAAGCCACATATCTGGAATCGGAAGCTCCACCATGCAACCGACGTCCATGGCAATACTGCCTTGCACTTGGTCGCAAAGGTTTCTCGTCATACGAATGCACCTATGCCAGCCGTTCACATGCAATGGGAAGTTCACTGGTTTCAGGTATGATGACTTTAGGCACCTTTTAGTTTTACATTTTTCAAAGCTTCAAGTTTCATTAACTTTATCTTGAAATTAAATTTAATAATTAACTCTTGGAGTTTACCAATACTCTATATTTTGATGAATTGTTCTCCTAAATAATAAATCAACGGTGCAATCATGCATTCATGAAAAAATTTAAAATTAAAATATAAATTTAGTGCTTTAAGTTTATATAAGGTTTTAATTTGGTCTCTTATTTTTAAAAAAATATGCACTTTATCCTTTAATTCTAAAATCATTAGCCTAACTGATAATTTTTTGTAACAATCATAATTGTTTTAGAAATTAAATATATTATGTTAATATTTGGGAATGTTTTATCGACATTTAAGATCTTACTGTCTTCTTTTTTATTAGCAATTTTACGATTAATAGGCTACAAATATATTTTTCAAAATTAAATGACCAAATTGAATTTGTAAAGTTAAAAGACGATATGTATATTTTAGTCAAAATTTAATAATATTACACGTAATTAGAACAATATACACTCTACATGCATGGAGGTGTTTTCAAACATGAAATTCAGTTAAAATTCATTAATAATTTCTATCACTGACAGTTGAAATGTGTGTGTGTATGTACGCATTCAGTATGTGAAGAATATGATGCCGCCGGAGTTCAATGAACTGCGAAATCGGAAAGGCAAAACTCCGGCGATGATGTTCGCGGAGGAACACCGTAAACTGATGCAAGAAGGTTACAAGTGGATAAAGGAAATGTCGGGAAATTATATTGTGGCGACGACGCTTATTTCCGGCGTTACTTTTGCAACGTGCTTCCAGATTCCGGGGGGATATGACGGAGACAACGGCAGGCCCATTGTAGGCTATCGTATTGAATTTAACGTGTTTGTTATCACAGCACTGGTTTCCTTTTGCTCCTCCGTCACTTCCCTCGCCGCCTTTCTCGCCGTTCACAGCTCCCAAAGTGATCGGCCCGATAATTACCGTCGACGTCTGCCATTGACTCTGTGCCTGGGTTTGTGCTCCTTGTTTCTCTCAGTTGTGTCCATGTTGATTTCTTTCTGCGCTGCGCATACCTTTGAACTTATTGGCCCCCTAAACAAGCGGTCTAAGTATGTCCCCTTGTACGTTGGTTTTACTCTGTTCCCTCTCTGGTTTTACGGAGCAACACAAATCCCGCTCTACTGGCATCTTATCAAAGCCAGTTTTTCTACAGTGCCACTCCCCAGGCCATTCTATGAAGAATTCGAAGAAACACCACCAGATGAAGAGGAGGAGAAGAAGAAGGAGAAGAAAGATAAAGAGGAAGGGAAGAACAAGAAGAAAAATGAAGAGGCAGAGGCATCGGAACTCGGAAGAGTAGTTTAAATAGTTTTTATGCTTTCTTTGCAAAATAAAGGGAATTTATTATGTGACACAGTAGCATTTGATTATTTACAAATAACTTTATTTTGTTTTAGATCAAAATACAACTTTGCTAATGGTTTTTTTGGGCTCTACGAATGCATCCAATTTCACTAACTTAGGTGATAATTCCCAAACTCATTATAACCATCTAGATTTAAAATTTTTAATTAATCAATCTTAAATAAAAAATAATCAAAAATTATTTTTATTTTATCAGATGAAAAGAAATTAAATATAGACCGTGCAAATCATGTTAAATGTTCTCATTCATTCAGTACAAAATCGATCAATTTAGAATTTACTCCTCATTATTTTATCAACATTTATAATATTAAAATATGTAATAAATGTCTCTCTAAATTACGCACCCTGCAGCAGGCTTAATAAAGTTCACCCTGGTTTTGTTCATGAAAATTATTAAAGAGCTTTTGTCAAAGGTAGGTCAATTATATTACCCCATAACATCATAATTGGTCAGGATCTTGTGAAATTATACAAAAGGAAAATTTCATATCTCCCATATGTGTTATGAAGGTGGACCTAAGAAGGTATATGACATGGTGGAATGAATATTTATCATACATTGACTCCTTAAAGGGATGGACTTAATTGATTTTCTGTTGCTATGAATGATGAGGTTCACATCATGACTACTTTCTTGGAACAAGAGTTTAGAATTAAGATGAATTGAAGATGATGATCAAAGGGTCCCAAAACAAGAAACATTTTGAAAGAGAAACAAACATCTTTTTTTTTTGTTTAACAGAAAGAGAAGAAGAAAATCAAATCAAAATCATCCAAAACATGCATGAAACACGAAAAGCAAACAAACAAACGTGTCATTTAATTTTCTCTCTCTCTCTCTTTCCTTTTTGAAAGGAATCAGGTGTCTTTTATTTTTTCTTGAACTGAAGGCAGGAAGCATAACCCATTATTTTTACTTTAAAAAACTTATACTTGAAATATCCCTTGAAATGGGGAGGAAAAAAACAAAGTATACGTATGGAGATAGTACTCTCTCTAATTTTTAATATAGAAACTAGTTAGGATTTGAATTTATCATAAATATATAACACATCGATCTATTTAATTTATTTATCATATTTATCATTTTTTGAAACTAATTTAGATATCTTATAAACTGACTATTTTTGGATATTTTTGGAAGAGTAAATTACATCTATTATAATTGATGAACTTATCTAACTTCTTAATCTACTCAAATTTAACGGCAAAGACCAGAAGTAGAGTTGTTTACCTTCAAATTGAAACTTGCATGATAAGATGAATTGCACCGCTCTCTTTTTTCTTCTGTTAAAGCCACACCGATGTGCAGCTTGTTTATGTTGATCTTAAAGCACAATTGATGAGGAAAACAACTGCAGACAAGTTGGAATATACTATCCCCTGATTCCTAATATAAGACCTAACTGATTAATTTGGAAATATTAAAAAAAATAGTTAAGTTAGGTATTTGTTATAAATAGATATTGTCTTTCCTAAAATATCCTTACTAATTATGTATATTAGCTAGAATTATCATTTGATGAAACTTTTAACATGTGCAACTACTATAAGAACTATTTTAAAAAAATGAACAAATATAAAAGACAAATGCATTGAAGTCTTATATTTATGATCAGATTAAAAGTCAAACAAGCTTTTACAATTAGTAACAAAGGTACTAGGAAAAAGTGGCTCACATTAAGATTTTCACAGTTATTATATACTACCTTCGGTCTTTAATATAAGATCTTGTTTGACTTTTATTTTGGTCCTGAATATAAAACCCCAATCCACTTTATCTCTCATATTTGCTCAATTTTTTTAAAGATGGTCCTTCTAATAATTATAGTTCTAGTCAATACACTTGATTAGTAAGGATATTTTAGGAAAGACAACACTTATTTAAGACGAATAACTAACTCAACTTACTTCCTTAATCTCCTCAAATTAGTCAACTGGCTCTTATAATTAGGACCGGAGGTAGTATATTTTAAAGGATGAGACGAAAGTAATATTCCTCCTATAATGGGGCCATGATATTATACGGCTTTATCTGCCTACTTAAATGAGTTATATCATCACAAAGCTGCGTCTGGTCTCAGTCATCATTAATTAATTCCTGCCTATTTTTTGCAAATGGATTTTTGTGGGCTCTACAAATGTATCCAATTTCACGAACTTAGGCGATAAATCCCAAACTCATTATGTCTCAACCGTCCAGATTAAAATTTTTTAATTTATTATTTTTAAATAAAAATTATTTTCTGAGACAAAAATAATTAAAAATTATTTTTATTTTAGATGAGAACGAAATCAAATATAAACTGCCCAAATCATATTCAAACAATCCAGATATAATGAGCTTGTATATTTATTATTTTGCTGAGCAGACGAACCCGTTTCCTAATTTCACCCCATCAAAGCATGGAATCAGTTTCGGTACTTGTTACTTTGATAAGCACCCAAAAACTCATCAAATCTCAATGGTCCATATTTTAGTTGGATTATTCGAATCTGATTTCTTTTTTATTTGTATTTGTTCAAAATAATAATTTTAATATGTAAAAAATCTAAAATAGAGACAATCTTTTAACTATCATTCTTTCAAAAAAAAGATTTTTCTATTTAAAAATAAATAATTAAAAATTTTAAATCTAAACTGTTCAAATCAGATATAAACGATTCAGATCTGATGAGTTTAAGGTGCTCGTAAAGATGATAGTAGTGAAACTGGTTCCCTTCTTGATTGGTTTTCTGTTGCTATGAAGGATGAGGTTCGCATCATGACTACTTTCTTGGAACAAGAGGTTAGAATTAAGATGAAGATGATGGTCAAAGGGTCCCAAAACAAGAAACATTTTGAAAAAGAAACAAACAACACCTTTTTTTTTTTTTTTGGTTAACAGAAAGAGAAGAAGAAAATCAAAATCATCCAAAACATGCATGAAACACGAAAAGCAAACAAACAAACGTCTCGTTTAATTTTCTCTTTAATTTCTTTTTGTAAGGAAGCGTGTCTCTTTTAGAAGGCAGGAGGCATAAGTATTATTTTTGCTTTAAAAAACTTATAATTGAAATATCCCTTAAAATGAAAAAAAAAGAAAGTATACATATGTAGATAGTCTCTCTAATTTTTAATATAGGAACTAGTTAAGATTTGAATTTGATCATAAATATATAACACCTCGATCCGTTTAATTTGTTTCTTATATTTATCTTTTTTTTGGAACTAATTTAGATATCTTATAAATTGATATATAATCTAATATTGTACAGGGATATTTGTGGAATATTAAATCATATCTACTATAATTGATAAACTTATCTAAATTTTTAATCTACTCAGATGTAATGGTAAAGACCGGAAGTAGTGTTATTTACCTCCAAATTGAAACTTGCATGATAAGATGAATAGCACAGCCCTCTTTTTTCCTTTGTTAAAGCCACACCGATGCGTAGCTTGTTTATGTTGATCTTAAAGCACAATTGATGAGCAAAACAATTGCAGACAAGTTGGAATATATGAAAAAGTGGCCCACATTAAAGTTTTCAAGGTTATTATATATATTCTTTCCAACGGATGAGACGAAAGTAATATTCCTCCCATCATGGGGCCACGATATTATACGGCTTTAGCTTGCCTACTTAAATCATCACAAAGCTCCGTCTGGTCTCGGTCATCATTAATTATTTCCTGCTGATCGATCGATCGATCCATTGCACCCCAAGTAAGATAGTCGAAAAATCAGTTTTAGTTTGAAATGGCAGGGGTCGATTTTATGATGAGTAAGGAAATGGAACTGCGTCTTGCAGTGAAGAATCGTAAATGGAAGCGTGTTGTGGAGATTTACATTGATGATCCAGAGACTCAGGAGAGCAGGATCAACAGGTGGGGAGACACGGCATTGCATGCGGCCATTGAGACAGAGGGCACTGGTACTGTCAAACGATTGATCCGCGCAATCAAATCCCACCGGCCGGGAGGTGAAGAAGCCCTACACATTCTGTCACTGAAAAATAACAGAGGCAATACTCCTCTTCACTGCGCAGCCGCTCGTGGCTCAGACGTCATCAAACTGTTCCACAAATCACTGGTAATAAGAAGAATGATGTCTTTCTTTGTGCAACTTCATGACTTAAAGGGAATTAATCTCAACTGTAATATTAATATATTGAACCCTGCAGATTGGGGTGCGTAATGACAACGGAGAGACTCCTCTCTTCTTGGCTGCCCTTCATGGTCACCGAGAGGCCTTCCTCGTTCTCCACCGTGCTGCCGGTGAAGATAGCCCACTGTATTGGAGAAGGAACGACGGTGACACTATGCTTCATTGCACTATTAGGAGAGAATACTTCGGTACGCACCGCAGTGAATTAACTAGCTATCTATCAAATAAGGGCTACTAGCTACCTAGCTAGCTAATTTTTATTCTTTTGGTGCACTACTTGCAGAATTGTCGTTGATAATAATTCAAAGTTGCCGAGACATCTCAGTCCTTACCAATGCGAAGGGCGAGTCACCTCTGACAATCCTTGCGTCTACTCCCTCTCCATTCATAAGCGGTAGTCATCTTAGGTGGTGGGAGAGAATTTTCTTCCGTTGTGAGTACAAGCGCATTATTTTCCATATATGTTTAATTATTCAAGTTAGAATAATTAATAAGGTTATTATGTCGTGTGTGATCCATCATCATCATCATCATCTAACCATAAGAATACATGCACGCATCATCATAAAGTCATTTATGCCGAAGAGCCCAATCCTCCCACTGATGATGATCGTGATCGTGGAGAAGAAAGTACTATCGATCTTGAAGATTCAGAGATGACGATGGATGAGGAGCAACCGACCAACAAAAGTGTTACAGAGGAGGAAGTAATTCGTACCTTTGAAGCTGTTTTCAGATTCCCTAGTAGTACGTACCCTACTAGCTATTAATTGATTCGGGTTGATCTGCTTGCTATATTAATTAATGAAATAATAATAAGAAACATATGTGACTGAACAAACAAAGAGTTACTAATTTGTGTGTGTATATATTGTACGAAGGGAATATACAGAGACGCCTACTTGGTTTAAAGATCATGAAACTTCTTGTAGACGGAGACTCTTGGTACGACGCCTTTATTGGCACAGCAGACGTACGTGATATGTTCTCAAAGTCGGGTCATGAGGAAGCATTCAAAGAGACACCAACCATTTTACGGCCAGCACAACAGCGGGAACACAGCGGTAATTAACAAAACGACATATGACTAATTAAAAATTAATTAATAACCAAGGGGTCAGAATTTGTCTGATGAACTTCTTTCTTTCTTTTCGAATTTGATGGACTGAAGGGGCTGAAGAAGTATGGACAGCATTGTTGAGCGGAACTAGAAACGGTGCGACGGAGTTGGTGAGGGAACTCCTGAGACGAAAGCCTTTTGCGATATATGATGAAACCAGGGAGAAGAAGAACATAGTGCTGGTGGCAATAGAGGCGAGGCAATCAGAAATGTTGAAGGAAGTGATAAGGCACGCGAGTTGGACAGACGAGCGCCTCAGGCATGGAAAGGATGTCAAGGGAAATACTGCGTTACACTTGTCCGCAAAGCGTTCTGTTAATCCCAGTATCTCTGTGTCTGTCGTTCACTTGCAGTGGGAAGTGCACTGGTTTGAGGTTAGTTTAATTCATTCATTTGATTTAATTATCACGGAGTCTGAGAACCAAGAAAACACTTGACGAAGTCATTGAATGGATTCTTATAGTTAACAACCTATTTAAGAATTTGGTTATGTTATTGATGGAGCACAATGATGTCGGCATCATGCAATTCATATGGCCGACCCCACCTGGTGATATAAAACTTCTTGTTATTATTGTAGTATTATAGGGTTAAGGAGTGCATCTGAAACATCCTGATGAAGTAATTTTTTTTATTAGCACTCAATATTCTAAGTTTTTTATGTTTATTGCTACAGAATATAAGTTTATGATACTAAGTACTATTGAAACATTACATTTCACATGTACATCTTAACCAATTGCATCTTTATGTGTATCCCATATACATTTCACAGTATGTGAAGGGACTTATGCCCGCTTACTTCATGAATGAACCAAACAAGGAGGGCAAGACTCCAAGCATGATCTTTGAGGAGGAACACGGTGGGATGTTGGAGGAAAGTGACAAGTGGGTGAATAATATGTGTGGGAATTACATGGTTGCTACCACGCTTATTTCCAGTGTTACGTTTGCGACTTGCTTCCAAATCCCAGGGGGTTATGACAGCCAAAAGGGCACACCAATTGTAGGATCTACCAACACTGCATTTCAATTGTTTGCTATAAGCGCACTTGTTTCCTTTTGCTTCTCCATCACTTCTTTGGCTGCCTTCCTTGCCATTTACTCTTCACGAAGTGATCGGTACAAGGATTATCGTCGAGCTTTGCCCTTGAAGCTTCTTGTTGGCTTTTTCTCCTTGTTTGTCTCCATTGTTTCTATGCTGATTTCTTTTTGTGCTGCGCACGTCTTTGGACTTTATCCCAACCATAAGTCTAAGTGTTTCCCTCTGTACCTTTCTCTCACTTCCATACCTCTTTGCTTTTACTCTGCAACACAAATCCCACTTTACTGGCAACTTCTCAGAGCTAGCTTTGCAACTGTGCCATCCTCTAGGCCATTCTGTGTCGGACACCAGCGGCCAGAAATTGATGCTGAAGAAGTAACGGAAAGGATAGAAGAAGAATCCAAAGCGCCGGTCACCAGAAGAAAAATAAGGATGAGGAGACCTACTGTAGAAAGAGTCAGCTTTGAACGCCCCCGCGACTCTTCTTGAGAGTACATTTACCAGGGTGATCTTAGTTTTTCAGGTCTAATACCCTAAATTTTTTTTTTAATGTATCCAAGATCCAATCTTGTTTTTAGTAAATGGAAGTGATAAGGTCTCAAGTTCAAATTTGGCATTAATATGTTTATATATGTGTGTGTTTAATTATATAAAATTAAAAAAAAAATATGTTTTTTTGCCATCCAAAAATATATATGTTTGTACAGAACCAGTTTCAGCGCTCATCACGTGAATGAGCACCCTAAGCTCATCTTTATACTTTTTGATTTTGTACGTATCTTTGCTTATGGGTTGGTGGGTATATCTAGTTTGAAGTTAGTTCAACTATTTTTTTCATTTAACATTCAATATCTTAAGTTTAGAATGTTTGTAAGTATAGAAGTTGAGAGTATTGAGGGAAACTTAACCGATTATTAAATTGCATATATATATATATATGTATTTCTATATATCCCATATTTACATTATTTATTCACAGCATGTGGAGGAACTTACGCCTACTTACTTCATGAATCAACCAAACGATGAGGGCAATAAGATTCGATGGATGATCTACAAGAAGAAACACCGTGGCATGAGCACTGGAATTGATTCCATCATAAATAATTTATGGGTTTCATCATTTTGCATGAGGAAAGCAAGAGCTTTCTTTTATTGTTATTATTATTATTATTTTCTGTGATGTGAGAGTACTGACTGTGTATTTTCTGGTGTCTTTTTTATGAATAAAAGTAATACTGAAGCCAATTGGAACGTATTTCTCGGATTTTTCCTTTTATTTGTTCTTTTCCAATCAATATTATTATTATTTTTTAATTGATGACGCGATCAACTTCAAGGGAATGCGACGTGCATCTGTTTTTAAATTTTGTTTTGTGGTCCTCCTCTTGAACTCGGGGATTAAATAAAATCTCAACTTTACCTGTCTTACAAATATTAATGCAAAAAAAAGAAGAGAGGTCATGATCTTTATATAAACTAATTGAACTCTACTTTAATGATGCTAGTAAGGGGGAGCTCGCAGGCTTTGCTCCGTTGCGTGTGGGTAGTGCGTGAAAGCCATAGGTGTGGGTTTTCTCCCCAGCGGGAGGAGAGGTTGCATGTGTGAGTAATTTTTTCATATGCCACTCTGTTTTTATTTTTAAGTCATTTATAAAAAAATTTATTTCTGAACATAAGTTATTTGTAGGCTAATTAATATTTTTTTAAATTTTATTCTTGTTGACTTAACAAATACATAAAGAGAGATAAAGTAAATATGCAAGAAAAATATAAAACGTCGTTTTAATACCCTCTCTTCAATAAGGACACAAGTAAAAAAAATGATTAATTTAATGTATTTTTTGACTTGCAATCTTTAAGCATAAATAACTGAGAAATAAAATGATATGTCAAAAAAAAATTTAGAGGTGAATGATCAGAAAGTTGTCATTACGGGGCTGTTTGAATGAGTACTAAATCATAATTTTAAAAGTTATTTTATGATATACAAAATAAATATGCGAAAAAATTTGTTTTAATTTACAAAAAAATACTTTTTAAAAAGATTTTCTTAATTATCTCCGACTGACAGTCCCTCCCTTAAAGAAAAATTTAAGGAAGGCGTTGGATATTATTAAGTGACAGTATCCAAGATAGCAGCCTAACGAGATGCGGGTGCTTTGTAACATATAAATTACTACTACAAATTTGCGTAACTGATATAAAAACTAGATAATTAATTTTAAAATATCAGAAGATTAATTAAGTTAATTTTTTGTAATAAATATATGTTGTTTTTTCTAGCATATTCTTACTAATCATATATATTAGCTAAAATTTTTATGTAATGAAACTCTTAATAAGTGCAACTATTACAATAATTATTTTAAAAAAATAGATAAACATGAGAGATAAAATAAATTATAATCTTATCTTTAAAACCAAATTAAATATTAAATTAACTTTTATAACAAGAACCGGAGGTAGTACTTCTTTTTATAAGATATAAATTTTTGAGTACGTGCACAATTTTTAATATAAATACACTTTAGGAATTTTTAATGCATTTTTATTTGGGAAAATCCCAGAAAAAGCCCTTGAAATATACCAAATCTCAGATTGGGTCCTTAAATTTCGAAAATGACAGAATGGGTCATTGACCCAATTTGTCATTTGTGAAATTCAGGCGAATTGACATTTTTGTCCCTGACCAAAAGTGAGTAGTTATTCTCTAAACAAATTTAGGTAACGCTTACACTGTTCTAGTGATTATAAGATTCGTTGTAGTTAATAATAAGGTACCTGACAATAATAAGATACCTGACTATGAAAAAATGAGTAGTTATTCTCTACACAAATCTAGGTAATGTTTACATTGTTCTAGTGATTACAGAATTAGTTGTAGTTAATAACAAGACACCTGACTATAAAAAAGTGAGTAGTTATTCGCTACACGAATTTAGGTAACACCTAAACTCTTATAGTGATTCCTTGAATCATTGTAGTGAATGAATAAATGAGGGCAAAATTGTCAATTCGCCTGAATTTCACAAATGACAGATTGGGTCAATGACCCATTCTATCATTTTCGAAATTTAAGGACCCAATTTGGCATTTCCCATATTCTAAGGACCTTTTTTGGGATTTTCCCTTTTTATTTTTACTGTCAATTGATTACATTCCATGTCTCTCTTTTATTTTTTTCCTGCACCCTCATCTAATTTTTTTTAACTTATTCTTTTTCAAGCCTATCTTTTTTATAAACAAGAATGCTTTTGGAAAATAAGTTGTATTTTTACATATTTATTGTTTTTAATTAATTTAAACCAACCTTCTAATATATATAATTTGATCATTTTTATCTTATAAAAAGGAATAGAGGTAGTGTCTCATCCCGTACTTTATAATAGTAATAATAATAATTAAATATTCCTCCCATAAATGACTTATAAATTAGCTATAAGACGGAATATATTTGAATTTGGAAGAAATACGTTCCCCTCCCTCTTCTCATCAAATTTTTTTTTCCACATTTGCTTTTTCACATGCAATTGTTATTGTAGGCAGCCTAACTCTTGTAATTATTTATATATTTTTAAACTTTCCAAATATCGCGTCAAATTTAATTGGCTATTAAATCACTGTAAACGGTTATTAATTGATATTGAATGGAATGAATTTTTCAAGCCTATCCCTGCCTAACTTAAATTATCCAGTTCCCTAGCTATCCTCATAAACTTGTTGTTGTAAGAAATAGATATGCAGAAGGTAATAGACTGGAAGTATTATTATATTTATAATTCTTATTGTGTGTGTATGTGTATATTATATGTATCACTATAAAATATAGTTTCGAATATGCATTTATATAAATATAATTATTATTGAGTATATATTAGATATTAATTATGTATTATAATTATATTTACTCAATTTTAATAATTATAAGTTTAAATTTTATATATTAAATGTTTATGGTTTAAATAAAATTATATAATTTTAAAAAAACTTAAATAAAATAAAGGTAAAATTGCCCATGTAAAAATAGTGTCTTTTGAACTAATTAAGATAACTCAAATCTCCCTCTCTTCTCATTAATTCAAACCTCCCATTCCCTCTTTGGAGCTAAATACACCATTGGTCACTCAATTTCTATCCAAAAAAAAAATCATTAAAACGCAAAAAAATGTAAATTAAATCTTTAATCAAAATAAATCTAAAGTAAATCAAAATTCAAAGGCAAAAGTATGGTAGAGAAGGAAACCACCCTCTTTGGAGATGCATGGAAGTATTTTTGAAAAAATCATCAATAAATAAGATAGTTAATTATGAATGTTCTCTGACCAAGGGAAAAAAATTATCAATGTCCTTTCTTCTTTCTTCTTTTTTGGTGGGTAGCAACGTTCTTTATTTGACATCAATTTTTTTGGCAACTGTATTTTTAATATGAAAGTCATTTTTAATCATTAGAGAAAACGTACATAATCAATCTTATATATGCATTTTAAATCAAATTTAAATTAGATGAATTTTAAACCAAAAAGAATTAAAATAAGTAAACAATATTAACGATAAGAACCAGTGATGAGGAAATTATGTTTAAAAAATAATTAAAACTGATATTCAATCTAATCCTAAATATAAAACTCATTAAAAAGTCTTGATTTCATGCTAATTAGAAGATTTTTTTAATCTTTTATTCCACAATATCTTTATTTATTGGGTTTTTTCTTCATCTATACGCATTAAATACTAAAAATTGAATAATAGGGGTAATAAATGGGTAATGTATGAAAATGTAACAAATTTAGGCACTACTCTCTCCGTTGCTTTTTATACACAACAATTACCATCCCCTCTTATCTTTAAATATGAGCAATATTTACAAGTTATCTTAAATTTTTATATCAAATTTTCTATCTTACCCCTATTAATTATTTATTTTAATATCCACTATATTTATTATCTCATTTTTCAAATCATCATCTCTCAATCCACATTCTCTCTTTTTTATAATTCTCTTTATTATAATAATTTTTTTATTCTCTCTCTTATACTCTCCTCCCATAAATAAAGATATTTTGGACACAAAATTTCCAATTTATATTTATTTATTGTCTTTAATTAAGTTTTTAATTTACATGATGGAGTCTAATATTACTTATAAAAAGAGAGGGAGGGAGTGATGTTTCTTTAGATTTCAATCAACTTATTTGGTGCATCCAATTTGAGCAATGAATTAGTACATTATTTACTGTTTGCATTGATTATAATTGGCATTGATTGATGATTGACAGTGCATTAATATTGATATTAATTTTAATTTTAAGAAGTTTGTTGTTGATAAAATTTAAGTAATTTTGTTATTAAATATTTCGAATATAAATTATAATCAAAATGTTCTTAAAACTCGGGACTAACTTTGTCGAAAGTCACTGGCCCAAATCCAAATAAGCTTTCTTAAAAAACATGACCCTCGGTAATTATGCGCTGTTTTAAGGTTTAAAAGATCTTTTGACTGATTATTTTTATTTGAAAAAAAAATTGAAAACAAAAAACCGAAACTATAAATTGCATTGCGCTGATTTCCGGGCAAAACGTACAGTTAATTCCCTTCTTTGACATTAAAAACCTAGTAAGCAGAGACTTAGCAGAGAGGTATAGCCAAAACCCTAGTCCTTGAGTTTATGCCCATCGATCTCCGGTAAGCCCTCAACAAACCTTCTTCTCTCATTGCCACAAGCCCTATCCGTCTATTCTTGCTCGGAAAAAATTTGGAAACTGACCGGAAAGTTATTGGATTATAGACTTTGTGCTTTCTTGCGGCGTCTAATGGATGATCTTGAGAAAGCAATTCTTATTATGTTTGATGAGTCGGGGGCTGTTGATGATGGATTGAAGAAACGGGCTAAAAATTTTTGCAATGAAATTAAGGAGAAGTCATCAATTTGTCGTTTGTGTATTGAAAAATTATGCTTTTCAAATCTTGTTCAAGTGCAGTTTTGGTCTTTACAGACATTACAGGAAGTTATTCGAGCTCGATACTCGTCAATGAGCGCGGATGAGAAGCATATGATTAGAAGCTCTGTATTTTCTATAGTGTGTTTTGAAGGGATCAATGACAGCAAGCTGGTGAGGGTTTTAGAAGGCCCCGCTTTTATTAAGAATAAGCTTGCTCAGGTTTTGGTCACTTTGATTTACTTTGAGTACCCGCTAATTTGGTCGTCTGTATTTGTGGATTTTGTCCCTCATTTGAGCAAAGGGAATGCGGTGATAGACATGTTCTGTCGGGTTTTGAATGCCTTGGATGACGAACTGATTAGTTTGGACTATCCGCGGACCCCTGAAGAATTGGCTGTTGCTGGGCGGGTTAAGGATGCGATGAGGGAGCAGTGTGTTGCGCGGATAGTGGGAGCCTGGTATGACATTGTGTCTATGTTTAAAAATTCTGATCAAGAACTTTGTACTAGTGCATTAGATTCCATGAGAAGGTATATTTCGTGGATTGACATCAGGTTGATTGTGAACGATGCTTTTGTTCCTCTACTATTTGATTTGATTTTGGTTGGTGGACTGCCGGATCAACTTCGTGGCGCAGCTGTCAGATGCTTGTTAGCAGTGGTCTCTAAGCGAATGGAATCACAACCTAAACTTTCACTGTTGCAGAGCCTTCAAATTAATCGCATATTTAGATTGATAGCAGAGGATAGTGAGTCTGGGTTGGTTTCTGATATAGTGGCATTACTCACAGGGTATGCAGCTGAGGTTTTGGATTGCTTTAAGCGTATAAATTCTGAGGTTGCTAAAGGAATCTCGATGGAGCTTCTAAATGAAGTGTTACCCTCAGTTTTCTATGTAATGAAGAATTGTGAGGTAGACACTACATTTAATATCGTTCAGTTTCTTTCGAATTATGTTTCCACTTTAAAAAGCGTTACTCCTTTGGGGGAGAAACAACTACTTCATGTGGGACAGATATTAGATGTGATTTTATCGCTGATCTGTTATGACCCTGGGTACCGAAATCATCTTGATGTTTTAGATAAAATTGGGAAGGAGGAGGAAGATAGAATGGTAGAGTTTAGAAAGGATTTATTTGTCCTTCTTCGAAGTGTGGGTCGTGTTGCACCTGAAGTGACGCAATTGTTTATCAGAAATTCATTAGTAAATGCTATATCATCTACCTCAAACAGCAATGTTGAGGAGGTGGAAGCTGCGCTTTCTCTTGTATATGCACTTGGAGAGTCAATTAGTGATGAAGCCCTGCGGACTGGGAGTGGTATGTTGAGTGAGCTGGTGACTATGCTTTTATCAACAAGATTTCCTTGCCATTCTAATAGGCTAGTTGCTCTCGTGTATTTGGAAACAATAACAAGATATATCAAGTTTGTTCAGGATAATGCCCAGTATATTCATATGGTTCTTGCTGCCTTTCTTGATGAAAGAGGCATACATCATCCTAACATCAAAGTAAGCCGAAGGGCCAGTTATTTGTTTATGAGGGTTGTAAAATTGCTAAAAGTGAAGCTGGTTCCTTTCATTGAGACAATTTTGCAGGTAGCAGAATATAATCTGTCCCTGGTTATCTTTTTTCTACCATCTGCTACTTTAAATCTTATCATGCTGTTTAAACAAGATTTGTCATGCGTATTTCCTTCAATCATTCTTTAGTTATTGTATGAATTTAATTCATTATCCTAACTCATATCTCCTTATATCATTTAAATACCCAGAGCCTACGAGATTCTGTTATGCAATTCACCAGTTTGGATTATACAACAGAAGAGCTATCAGGGTCAGAAGATGGCAGCCACATTTTTGAGGTATTCTCATTTTACTTAATTTTAGCATTGTAGATATTTTTTGAAGGCTTTGGTCATTTGCCTTATTTGTAATCTTTCTCTTCTAGGCAATTGGGTTATTGATTGGAATGGAAGATGTCCCACTTGAGAACCAATCTGATTATCTATCATCCTTGCTCAGTCCTCTTTGTCAACAGGTTATTCTTGAATTTCAAAGTGTTAAATATATGATTTCTCAGATATTCTCAAAATTTATCTGCTGGTGTGTGATTTCTATACATCTCTTGTGCTTTTTTGATACAGGTTGAGGCATTGCTCATCAATAGCAAGTTATTGAGTGTAGAGGAGACTAATGCCAAGGTTGCTATTATCCAGCAAATTATCATGGCAATTAATGCTCTCAGCAAGGTGCTTTGTAATTTCCACTATTCCTTTCATCTTAATTTCCCAAAATACTTACAACTCTTTAAATTGATAAGCAGATTTACATTTTTATAATTTTGAATTCAATATCTTCAATTGAAATTTAGCAAACTTGAAACGTTTTTCAACATATTTTCCGTGTCATTTTGGCAGGGCTTCAGTGAGCGTCTTGTAACTGCCAGTCGCCCTGCAATTGGTCTCATGTTCAAGAAGGTTAGCGTTTTGTTATATTTTAATGGATCCAAATGCACTGTCATTTATGTGGTTAAGCAGCTACAGAAAGGATTACAAATGAATAGTCTGGAGTTTCAGTTTCCGTCATGTAGTGAGCATTGTTGATATCTAATCTATGGCGTTTTTCATTTCTTTTTGTGAATAGCGGGATGCGTTTCTATTTTTTTTTTTTTTATGCCCTTAGGTGAAGACAATTAGATGTTTAATTTCTCATACCATTTCCCCTCTGCTAGGACTTACCCCGCTTATGTGGTGTGCGTGACTGCGCTCTGCATAAACTATTGTATACAATTGCTTTGATTTACTGTCTCTTGGATGCTTTTTTGGAGTTGTAACCATGATATTAGCATTTCTTTAATTTCTCTCAAATTTGTGTCATTTGGGTCATAATTCTTCTTTTCATTTACCTAGACATTGGATGTGCTTCTCCAAGTTCTTGTTGTCTTTCCAAAAATTGAACCTTTGCGAAGCAAGGTAAGAACTAGATACAGGAATTGGTGCTTCTCTTGTAAGTCATCAGTATTTGTTGCCTAATAATATTCATGCCTGGCATGTAGGTCACGTCTTTTATACATCGTATGGTGGACACACTAGGAGCATCTGTCTTCCCATACCTTCCAAAGGCATTGGAGCAGTTACTTGCAGAAAGTGAGGTGCATATCATATCTGATTTCACTCAGTTTTGTTTAGATGAAGTCAGCGGGATGAGTAATTAAAGTCTCTACCAAAATACTTTGTTTGGATAGAAAATATCAGAGTCTTCAAAATTCTGAGCAAATTCTTTTGACCAATAATTTAACTGTGGAAATGTTTGACCAAAAATAGGATATTTCAAATTCTTATTGTTAACTGGACTCTAAGAATGAGCAAACTAGATGTGCGATCATAGGCGCCTTGATGCCAACCTCAGACTGGGACCTTGGACATGAGACAGGCCTTGCTGTGCATGCAGCTGTCAGATGGACCTTGGACCTAGACTCAGCTACCAAACCAAAACCATGCGTGACACTGTGGCTGAGACCCTTGACGGAGGTGTATCCACTGAACGTGAGCCTAACCTGTACCCCTAACTTGATACATTGCACGGACCCATCTGTTAGACTAAACTTGGACCCTGGGTTCAAGTTGTTGACCTCAAAACTGGCCACCAGACCAAATTTGTTGGACCCTTGACCCATCCGTTAGACTCCATTCCTACTCTTCATCACCAAACACGAACCATAGACTCTGACATCATATGGATTTAGAAAAAACTATGAAAAAATACACAAGAAGAATGGTGATTTCAGAAACTGAATTAGAGTAGTTTAATTCCCTTGTATTTCAATAGGACTTTTTTAAATTTTTCATCCAAATACATCCAAATATTTTATTTTTGCAATATCTAGGTGCCAATTCAGTTCGATGCACTACTTTGTGGTTCAATTGTTGGAGATGTATGAGAAGTTCTTTTGTTAATTCCAATTAGGATGTGATGGCAATATGTTTAACATACCATCTCACCTTTAATTTTCTTGTTTGATTGTTGGTGCATAGGTAATATTTGACCTTTTTCCATTATACATGTTTCTGCTTGCATTGTGGTTATCTCTCAAGGGCTTTCTGGTCTTTGAGATGTTTGCCTCTTACAGTAGTTGCTGCATGTTGGTGTGCTCTATGGGGTTTTGAAAAATTCCATGCCTAGATGTTTGCTATTGCTGTTAGATTCACAGCATGTTTTATGTTCTATTCTTAAATTTTGTGTGCGCTAAGTCAGCTTTAGGATCTTAGTGAACAAGTCTGCAAGTATGGTAGCATTTTATTTTCATTCAAAGATGGAGCAAGTAATAACTAAAAGAATGATGTTTTATTTTATGTTAATGTTATTGTGTTTGATTAATGCTTTTGTTACTTTGCTTCCAATACATCTTGATCTGACATGTGCGTTGAACTCTTGAATTGGTTGTTTATATGATGGTGTTGGTCTTGCTACACTGCACCTGTTTCTTGTTCAATTAGGAAGAGGAAAACAGTGATGTCATGATAATGTTTTAATTGCAGCCAAAGGAAATGGTCGGTTTTCTTTGTTGCTAAATCAGCTTATCTGCAAGTTCAATGTTATGGTGCGTGGCATTTTGGAGGAAATATTTCCAGCTGTTGCTGGTAGGATATTTAATGTTATTCCAAGAGAAACATTACATTCTGGTTCTGGAGCAATCACTGAGGTATGAAAGTATTAATCCATTTTGTAGTTCCATAAAGTGCATAAATTTGCCCATCCATTGATTGTGTTAATTTTGTCATTAATTTCCATGATTTTGATATTGTTTGTCAAACGTCTCAAAAATTGATGAACGTGTGTTTGTCATCCTCATCTATTTCATTGTCAAATGCCTCTTTTCCTTGATGTGTTTTACTTGCTGCAAGCAAGGGAATCATTAATTGCAAATTAGATGGATCTCTAGATTAGTGAGGCAGTGATTGAGGATTGCCGATTGGCTTTTATTACCATCTGCACCATCTTGTTGACACTTCTTCCTGTTTGATTCAGGTTAAAAAAGATACTAAGATGTTATGCTTTGGGAATGTATTTTGCTGAATTGTTGCGTTGGTCATGTCTATACTATAGATGTATAATGACATTATATTTTCTAGTTTCTATAATTTGAACAGCATCTCTCGCTTTTAATCAGGCTCTTTCTCCTTTTCCGTCTCTGTTGTTGTTGCATGCTTCTTTGCACGCTGCATGCAATTATTAGCTGAGATTCATATTTGATGGATTGAAAATCTGTTTTAAGGGGATATCGTGTACATTTTTATTCAGGAGGTTGATTCTAAATTCTTGTCGCATTCTTTTTAACAGCAGAAGTCTGGTATATTTTTCTTGTTAACATGCAACCTAAGATTCATTTTTCTTTTCCTTGTAGGAAATTCGTGAATTGCAAGAACTTCAGCGAACATTGTATACGTTCTGCATGTGATTACTACACATGATTTATCTTCAGTTTTTCTTTCCCCAAAAGTATTGCATACATGAATCAAGTGATGCAGTTGCTCTTATACTCTCTTTTGTAATCATAGGGATATTCTCGTGAGAAAGGTAGTAATGAAAGCTACTTTATTTCATTGTGTGTTTCTCCTATTATTACTTCTGAATAAGCTAAAATCTGAACCTGATTTATTTATTTACATTATAGGCTTGTGTACAGATCTTTATTAGATTAATTAAAGATTGGTGTGCCCACCCTTATGAAGAGAAGGTAAATTCGCCATGCTTGTTCTGATTTTATGAGAATACTTTCTTGATGTGCTAAATAGATTATGATTAACAGGTTCCTGGTTTCCGTAACTTTGTGATTGAGACATTTGCACCAAACTGCTGTTTGCACAGTGTGCTTGACAGATCTTTTGAGTTCCATGATGCAACACTGTAAGGCTCATTTACTGTTGCTTTACAATTTCTTTGCGCATATTAAGTTTTTATAATCCTATCGTTCAAGATTATTACAGATAAAAAAATTTGCCTCTTGATGGTCATTTGTTGTTTATGTCAATTCTTCTTAGTTAAAAGGTTGAGGTTATACCTTTTACCCTTTTTGCTCTGCATAGAGATATATTGGCTCATCATTTGTTTACGCTGATGTAAGAGTAGGAGGAATATCGTTATTATTCCATCAATGGAAAAATGGCTGTAGGAGTCTGGATTTTTATGTTGGGGATGGGAGCCCTAATTTGTGTTCGTAATGATTATTTTTACCTTCCATTGGTTGGAGTTCGTATTGAGCCTCCTCCTATGTCTCTCACTATTCACTTATGTCCACCATTTTTTGGGTCTATCTTGAAAGTGGTGGCTGTGGTAACGTTGGTGGTTGTGATCTATTAAGCATGAAGAAGCTCAAATTGACACATCTTATGAGAAAAAACATTCGCAACTTTCTGTTTACTTTTCATTATTCATATTTTGTTGGGGGGAAACACAACCTAAATTCTAGGTATAACAAAACCATATGACATTATGTTGTGTAACCATAGAATAATAATATGGGGCTAGGGTTGGTCACTAGTTCTATAAGCCACATGGGTTAATATTTGGCTCACTAATTCATGAGGCTGAAGGATAGTTTAGGTAGTTCTAGTTGCTGGTTAGTTATGCTAATTAGACAGCTGGTGGAATGCCTATAAGTAGTATCCTAACCTCTGTAATCCTTATCTGTCATCTAATGAATATTCAGGCGTATGATTTAGTTTCCCTCTCTCCTCTCTAAACTTCTCTGTCTCTG